AGATAAAACCGTACCCTAACTCAAAGCTGGTATAATAGCCCTACTTACTCCTGAAATTTTCTGTTGTCACACTTTGGAATATTCCTGCAGAAGACTTGAACAATATTTGGATACATTGAAAGAAATGCTTACAATTCAGTTTGGTAAAATTTTACAGTATTCCTGGTTTCAAGGATAAATATGAAGCTTGACATACATTCATTCGTAGCATTTTTTGGATTGGTAGATGGCAAGGAGGAGTGGAAGAGAGAAAGGAAAGCTAGACTCTTCCACTGGGACAGTAGAAGAGCTTTTACTACCCCTGTGAAAAGCTGTCTAAATTCTGAAGCTGAGATTGTAGCAGCTAGCAGGAGTTCACACAAAGAAGAGCTCGGTATGTGAATTACATATCAATTCACAAAGCACTGGGCAATATCCAGAGTTGCAACAGTGCCAGTTGCTTTCAACCATTTCTTGTAATATCACACTGGTACTGGTTAACAGGTCACAGAAGGGTGGCTTCTCGTCAAATGCTGTTTTAACAGTGTTTTGCAGTAAAAAGGGCTAATGAACCATGGAAGTGAGACAAATTTGGGAGTAACGAGTAATGCTATGTGAATATGGTCCAGACAAAGTTACACACCAGCAAAACTTACCTGCCCTGCATGAGCGAAAAAGCATATTTAAAATGGCCTTTGTTGGGTAAGAATTGGAGCTATATGTGCAGTCAAAAAAGATACAGGTTAGAAGAAATGAACAAAAACTCTACCACATGGCAAAAGGCTGGGATAAGAACAAGATGCCAAACCAAATTCTTTACAAACACCCTGGACACTTGCTAGCATTGAAAAATTTGGTACGTTTTAACTGAGCAGTTCTTTTGATTCATGTCAAAGACATGACTAAAAGCCTGCCAGGGCTCATTGCAGTGTTCCTTCCCTTTCCATTAGCAGTTTCTTGAAGCACATGACGTAGTGGTTTACAAGAGAAAAATGTCAATGCACAAAATTTAGAATTAAGCCAGGGACAAAGCAAGCACAAAGTTCTGTGTTAAAAAACCAGCCCTTAACTAGTCCAAACTGTATCCAGTTAGTTCTATGCCTACGTTATTATCTCTGCAAGATTAAGCTATCTCGTGGGTAAGAAATAAAATACAGTTGACCCAGGAGAAGTAATTTAACACCAACAGCTAATCCAATTCTGTTAAAAAAGGACTTTTGAAGTTCTTGATAGAAGATGAAATAAAGGTTTAGTTAGGTGTACCTGACATCATAAGAATATTTTTTGATGCTTAAAGAAACAGATTGAAATGAGTGTTCCGGACAGTGTTCAGGTCATTAAGTTGTGAAAATGTTGAAGCAATTAGGGTCATATAATCAAAGTTTAATATGAAGTCTGAATTAACACTTTTCATTATCAGTGCACTATCTGAAATGAATTTGAAAATATACTTTTTGGTGCATCTTCCATGCCAACTGAAATATGTTCCACCACTTCTGTCTTGCTCTAGAAAGACTTAACTCCTGAAAAGAAGGAACAGTTGTTTTTGTACTCCTCTCCTCTTCCCTTCATCATTTTTTTGGATGAAGAACCTCTACCTCCTCCCAACATAAATGGAACCAAACTAGGTTTAAACATTTAAAAAGATATAAAGGTTTATTAAATGAATCCAGATTTGACAGATATAACATAAATTAAACAGCAATAAAATTTTACTAGGGTTTATGTACAGATCACAGTGATTTTCATTGTGCAATGAGGGCTGACTTTGTAACTTTGAACAGTACTTATACATGTGAGCTACAACAAGCAACCAGCAACATACAACATTAGTCCAAGTTAACCTCGCAAGTCTAGCAGTTCAAACCGATTATGCAGTACACAAATGCCTGCTACCACTATCACTACTTACTACACAACAGAGTATTTATAAAGCAGTCAAGGTTTGCCATAGAAAAGTGCAAAACACGGAAAGTCTGTACACAGTACAGTACAAAAAGGAATCATGCTACAGTCATTGAAAGCTGAAAAATAATTCTATAGCATAGGAAGCACTGCGTCACAACTCTTCTGAATGGCAAGCAGATGGGCTGAGGAACAGCCATATCTTAATTGCTTTCAAAACTGCAAAATCCCTGTTCATCCAATTAAACATAGTTTAGTACCTATATTTTGATCAATTAACAATGACTTTCTACAGTGGAAGATCACATTAGTTAAAGCTCAGTAGCACACATATTCATTGATCAAGCTAATTTACAGGAAAATCTACAGCATGTTCTCCATTGAAATCATGACGCATTTATATCATTTGGTTACAAGGCAATTGAGTTTACAATGCACGTTTATCACTTAAAACCTCAAATTGGGCAATTAAAAATATATATATATATGCATATATAAAACTCAAAAATAAAGGTTGTTTTTTAATGTTTAACATTCTTGTTCACCGAAGCAGAATACCAAAGGCCTATGGGCTCTTGCAAGAAAACAGTCCTTATGCAACAGTCTATACGCAAAAACATACGTTAACAGAAGCAACCATAATAAAACAAACTTCAGAGAATACCAGACTTGAATAGAAAATAAAAAAGTATTCTAGTCTGCTTAAAAAACCCCACATAAATCCAGAGTCCTTAGTGCAGTAGGTATCCAGGGACTTCTGTGTGAGGGCTCAGACAGAACTACGTTAGTGGGCCATGAAGTCCCAGCAAAGACTTAAAATAAAACAGACTCACTTGTGCAAATAAATAAAATGGGCAGGTAATAACAGCTCATTAAGTCCAAGACTGTAAAGAAAATAACTGATCACTTAAAAGAATGCTTCAAAAATGTTTTGGGTTTTTTTTTAAGTTAAGGATTTTAATTAAAAAAAATTGAAAGTAGTTTTGTACTAGAAAGCATGTTGACGAGGTCAGTAGTTAGGCATATGTACACATGGCTCTGGAAACAATGTAAAGTCAGTGGATTAGCATTATTATTAAGATTGTATTCGTTTCTTTAGTCTCTATCATAATGAGTGTCAGTGCATCCACTGCCAGCAATGGATAAGATACACAAAAAGAAAATCCACTATCTGCTGTTGTTCAAGCATTCAAAACTTCTAACCACCAATGTGGCATATTAGTCAAATTCAACTTTATTTCTTAAGCTTTGAAGACCCAAACACAGTGCAGTTTTTAAATTTGGGGGAAGTGGGAGGGGGGTGGAAATTGTATTTAGCACACTTGCTTGTTGCAGTATGTACATTTTAAAATAAGAAACTGGTTTTGTAGTACTTGGATTCCATAAAATACTGTAAGCTTACACATTAAAAAAAAACCCTGAACTGTGCTTGCTCCCTTTAGACAAAGCAAGCTGCGTTTTATGTGCTTCAGTTTTTTCCAATTGATTTGGAGTAACGAATTCCACAGATATAAATACAGTGGACCAGATTCATTTTTTCAAGAGAATAAGGTATTTTTACCAGGTTAAAATGATCATTTCCTATGCATTTTCCTGTATTTCATTATACATTCCTACACAGTATTTACTGAGTGGCAGCTAGGGCCATCAACTTGTGGCACTTGCATAACATCAAGACGACTTTGTGATATTTCAGAATTACCACTTTGAAGTATTCCGATTTTGTTACACATTGTGCATTTTTGCAAAAAGTTATGCAATCTCTTGAAGTTAGACTTGCTTTATGAAGAAATAGATCTAATACCCTAGAAATTGCAAGTTCTCAACTTCTGTATTGTTTAGAGCTAAACAAAAGAAAATGGAGGTCACTCTTCCACGAGGAGACTCCAGCTGCAGATCTGTCATAAAATTATAAAAATGGTAATTTCATTAGTGATTACTAGAATGTCTATTTCACAAGCATTCAGGATTTAGTTCAGAAAAATGAACCTTTGGCCTACATTTCTTATGGCATTTCAGATCAAAAATGCAGAGAGCAGTTTGGGGGAGAAACTGTTTGTATGATCTACTTAAACAGTTTTATGTAGAGCCATCAGTCATAGTAGTAGAACTCCAGTGAGCTGATGTGCTTTCAAAAAGAAGTATTTTTGGTCTAAATATCGTAATTTCAGAAAAAGTTATCTAAAACCACAACATCTGAAAGAATGTATTTACTTTTTGAAATCGAAGCACTTCAAAATCAATTCCGCTATATTAACACAAGTATCACAATATGGAACACGAAAAAACCCTAAAAAAAGATCCTGACTTGTATACAACCTACCTTCATTTTTATGTGTATTCATATACATAGATACACACATATGCACATACTGATATTTGGTGCTACTTAAAAATGAAGCAGTACTGCAAATACTTCCTAAATACCGTGTACTCAAGCTGCTAGAAAGCTGTTAGCACAGGATGAAAAAAGAGACTCCTTACATCTAACGTTTGAACTCTGTACATATGGAATTTCTGGCAGCAGAGACTTTAGGACATTTCCAAAAGCAGAAGCAGAAAAATCAGGCTCTAATATATATTCAGTTTTCCCTCTGATATTCTGAAGTGCCAAGCATTCAACAACAACTATTTCAATAACGAAAAAAGTCTGTTATGGCTCATGCTTTACATTTGGAGAAGACAGCAAGCTTGACAGAGAACAACAACTGTAAGAGCCAGCTAGAGCCCTTTTATCAGTATGCACTGAATTGCATGTTTACAGAGAGTCTTCATGTGAGGAACCTCATTTCAGACAGTGTATAATCACTCAATATCCTGGTCTGTAAAGAAACATCACTGAAACAGAACTTCATAAATTAGCCATTAAGATGCATCTTAATCAACAATAAAACATGCCCTTGTCTTTCTGCTTTCAAGTACTATGGTTGCAAGTGTGAGGCATTGGAAATTTTAGGTACAAATCTTTTTTAAAACTTAATTATTTTTATTTTTTACAAAGAATTATAAAATGTATATAAGATGATGAAAAACTCATTTATCCTTTTAAGATTTTTATTCCTAGAGAACTTCTTGAAAAACATTATTTGAAAAATAAAAATCATAGACTCTGCAAAGTACAAAAATTTACATCTTTGCACAGTTCCTGTGCTTTAGTTGTATTGTATTCATTATATACATATATACTAATTTGTGCTTTTAATTACACAAGTTTAGTATAAACTTATAAAATTAAGTCTATGAGTTAACTATGCAAAAGGATCTGGGAATAGCAGGAAACTTATCTAAACCATAAGTTAAAAAAAAAATCCTAAAATATACCATTTTAGTGAGTCTACTTCAGAGTAGACTATCAATATTACAATTTACTAAACTAACGTCAAATGTTTACAGCAAAAAATTATTGTTGCCTGCCTCCAACTCTTTAGATATTTACTATATACTAATACGCATATCTGAATGCAGTATCATTCTTATCCACAAAGAAAGTCTTCATTTACGTATGAACTCCATTTTTCTTCAGACTTGCTCTTAGCACTTCAATTTCCTTCCAGTTTCTAAGACAAAAAATAATGAAAAAGGAACACAAAATACAATGTGGAGCATGTGAATTGAATAACAAGTATCAACCTATCACAGTAACAACACAGAATCCAGGGTACAGAATTAATTTGACAATCTTATTCCTCTAACTAAAGTTAGAGGAATTCTGAACACAGAAGTCTTGCAATCAAGAACAATCACATTTCCTTATCTGTCAAATCAATCTAGAGATTTGCTTTTAACACACTATTTAAAAAGTCTTAAGGACAGAAGGACTTAAATATCTGTATGTGAATAACTCTTCATCACTGCAGAACACCAAAGCCTGTGAGATAAATCATCTTTGTCATTCCGTAAGCCTGCTTTACAGTATTTTATTTCAACAGTTTAATTATACTAATACTGTGATTCATGTTTGTTTTACAAGCCGTAAGGAAATATTCATCACTGTTATGAATCAGAAGATGTAATTTCTGCATACAGCTCTCAGTCACAGACCTGCAATGTTTTGAAGAGGACTCCTGACATTTGGACATACCTCATCCAGTGTAGATGTTGCATTCAGAAGTTCTTGAAAATTTCTAGATCTTTAGGGGGTACCGGAGGAGTCTTGTTCCAGTCATCTTCAGGATAAGCTTCAAAATTGGAAGTATCCCCATCATTGGATACTTTTGGTACTATGGGAGGCTAGTCAGAACAAGCACAACAAAAATGTTAGTACAGTTTCCTCAACAAGCTCCTCTCCATCATATTAAAGCAGAAATTCTGTAAAAGACTGATTAAACAAAAGGGGTACATATTTATAAAAATTCACCTTTTTCACCAGTAATGAATGGCTGAGAGAAGCTTGCAGCGACACAGACATGTTCCAACGCTTTGTCTATATTGCAGTTAAATACTGTGGTTAAAAGACACTTATAATACAGGTACCTACTTTATTTAGCACTCAAGTTCTAGCTGCTTTGCAGACTGAAGGTAACTACTGAAGACTACTACAACTAAGCTTCCAGGCATGTGCCATTACAGCATAATGTGCCACTCTCCTTCCTCACTCCTCCCCTCTTCTGTGGCATATGAGCAAAAAAGAGTGTAATCACATTAGGTTCCTTTCAACTAAGAAAGAATCTTGATAGCAGTGTGGATAACTGCTTTCTAATTGAAGGAAAAAAGCCTCCTCTTCTCTTCATTGCTTTCAAATAGACTGATTGCTTTTAAGGAGGTTGAAATGACTAACTTGTGTATGCCTCACACTACCTGCTATGCTTTTCCCTAGCATAGCAATAAGTTCAAGCAGGTAAAGAAATTGCTGCACTTTAAAAACTCATTTCACAAGGATGTCTGTAAAAGCATCTTAATTCAAATGGATCTTTTTAAGGAAAGTTGGGACGTGTCAAGAGAAATATCTGTTTTCTATTTCTTTCCTCAAAAGATTCTTTGGATTTCTAGTGTTGCCCACCAGCTTCACAGTAGCTGTAGTTTTTCCTTGTCTTATATCTAGCATCGAGATTACTCTGCCCCTCTGGCTACAGGCTATGAGACAAAGATCCTTTCTGGAACATTTCATTAATTGCAAGGGTTAATGTAGGGTAAAACCCTTTTCTTCTCTCAAGGGACATTCATCTCTCTGTCTCCTTCTCAGTAACAGAGAGCTTAACTATCATCGTGAGTCCACAAAACACTTCAGGATGAAAAAATCTTAAGGACAATCACCAAATTGGCTAATAAAAGTCATACCACAGACAGAACTATAAAGTACAGCAAAATGTTATTCTGCTTCTCCTCCAAAAGATAAAAGGCTGGCTTCTGCTAGCTCTGAGATCTTATCTGATCTTTTGGGCTTCTCAGTTTGAAACAATGCCATCAGCAGGTTTTCAACGGGAAAGAAAGGGTCCTGAAGAATGGCACTTCTAAGCTTCAGCCAAAAACAAAGTCCTGCTTTTGCAATGTGGCAGTCACAGCATACTGCCCAGATGCTTAAGAGAATGTGCAGAATCTGCTCTGCTCCAGAGAACTGTGCGCAATGCCTGGTACCCCTATCTCCCCGAAAGTATTTTGGCAGGAAAACCAGTTTTGTAAAGTGACACACAAAAGGAGAAAAAAAAAAAAAGAAAGAGAGAAATCTAAAATGTTATTTTAGATTAATAAAATTATTTTCTCTTTCAGTCATTACTATTATTTGTATAATAATGATATTTAAGATCTTATCAGGACCGTTAATCAATGCTTCATTTGTATAATAGGTCAATTCACACTTTGTACAGGGAAGATGGAGCACTGTATCCGTTATTTCATATTTTCAGTCTCTTCAATCAGTATGAAATAGAGTGAGATTGTGAAAACTAATTCTGAAGAATATGGCTGCCTCTAGAAATAGCGAAGTAAATTTCTGACCTAATTCACATCCTTGCTCTAAAGTATAATTAAGCAGCATCTTGTCTTCTAAGAGCTTAATGTAACCAGCACAAAAATTAAGAAACAAGTTTTGGACTCATAATAATCTGAGTGCCACAGTGACTCTTTTTATAAAACATGTTATCATCCAGTTCGTGTTCTTTGCGGATTTGTGTGACCAGAATTTACAGTAAATAATTTGAAAAATGTGATTTCATTACAATAGATCTACATAAAACATCAACTGGGTGTAGTAATCCTTAAAAAAAAAAACAACCCACACACAAACCAAACCCCAAACCACCACACATTTAAAACAACGTAAACTTCTTTTTTTTTTGAAAGAAAAAAAGTCACCTACAGCTTTGTATTAGGATGTTGTCTGCAAGAACACATCAGGAACATTTTCAACTCTTATCTATCTTGCAAGAAATCAATTTAAGATATCTAGCCAGAAATTCATTGTAAGAAACTAATGCAAAGAGAAGGAAAACCAAACATTTAATCGGTACTTGATTGACTGCGCACAGCAACCTATGTTACTGAAAGTCATTGCTGTAAGAAATCGTACTAGTTAGAACTTTGGAAAAGGAAAGGAGGAAGGCAGTTTTACTTCCAAAGGACTTTAAAAAGCATTTTGCAGTGTTGATAGCTTTTGCAAACGTCGGCCCTCATATAATACTAGAATTCAGTGCTGTTAAAAAGTATGTTAGAATTACATTCATAAATCCTTCTCTCTCACCTTCCCTACTCCTCCTACTCCCATATGCTTTATATTTTATTAAAGCATTTACCTGAATTGAACTTGGCACAAAAATTTAAAGCACAGAGTAAAATACTTCCACAGATATAACAGCAAGAAGAAAAAAAATCAAACCAATAAACCCCCCAAACAAAAAACCACCTACAACAAGTAGTTACTTACAAAACCCTAAAACTGAAAATTAAATCTTGTATTAACTAATCAACTTCAGCAAAATAAAGCAGGGTTTTTTTTAGATGTTTCATATATAGACAAAAATGCAAGTAGACATTCATATAATTAATTCTGCAGTGTAAAAGGGCAAAAATGCATGTAATTATTGATGTGTGCATATACACACATGCTCATACACATATATGAACACACAGATGCAACAGGCAACAAAACCTCAACAGATCAGCTTAAATGAACGACAATTTCTTATTGTGATGTCCTATACAGTATTTTGCAGAATATACCTTTAGTCTCCTTTGTGGTACAGCGTCCCAATCTATAGACCTGAACCATCGATGTCTCTTCACATCATCTGCTCCATTCTTTAAAGAAAAAATAAAAATAAATATTTAGTAAGTTATATGTATGCCAAACCATGTATTTCATCGTTAGAACTGTGGTATCAAGACAGACTAATGGTCTGTCTAACCTTTTTTCTTTTCTCAGGTGATAATCATTAAAAGATTCTACAGGATAAATTCATAGTGTTATTTCCCTAGCAGATCCTGAGTTCCAGCAATAAGATCCACATTTCTTTTTTTTTTTTTTTTTTTAACAGCATTCTTCTGACACAAGGGAGATCAAGAATAGGCTTTAAAATACCGACAAAACCGTTCACGGAAGTTCTATTCACTTGTTTTCTCCAACATTTTACAGAACGCCTCTTATTCAGATATACTTTCTAATGCTTACACTAATACAAAAAAAAAACTGAGGGTTGATGGTGTCTTAAATAAAAATCATGTCTGGGAAGCACATAGTTCTACCAAATATTACAGACGCTTAGTGCCGACAACAAGAGGTTCTCAGTACTGTTACAAAAGTATACATATAAAACCATTTGTTTTCATTTTAGATATATGGTTAAAGGTGTATTTTTCTTGTAATGATTATTCTCTCTGGGCTGACTGTTTTGATTATGTACATAAAGAATGAAAATGTCTCTCCCCCCCAGATGAAGCTTGGTTCAAGCACAGACTCATGCTCAAGGCATTAAGCACTGGGGAAAACCAGCTGGTTCTCTGTCTCAGGCCTGATCACAGCACAGTTTTAAAGTACAGCACTCAAGCTCATACCACATGCAGCTCCATGGAATGAAGCACACCACACATTTGGGTTTTTTCAGATTTGTGTGGAGTAGGACTATCCATGCTCATATCCAAAGAGGCAACAAGGAGAGTAATTTATTACTTAGCTCGCTCAAAAGCAGATCTGATTGCTTCACTGGGATGAAATGGGATTTAAATGCCCAATGGGATTTAAATCTTTTTAAACCAACTGTGATTATGGAAAAGGATCAGACTTAAGACTGATCTACTACCCCCACCCCAAATCCTGCTTCTAATTAGAACTATTTTTGATTTTGACATTTTAGCCAACTGCAGGGAAAAACCCCAAAACAAACCAAAACAACCACAGACTAAAAAAAACCCCGAAAGCCAGCCAAACACATTTCCCCAAAACCCATGTTTGAATAAACCAAGGTTTGCTTTTGTTTTTGTCTTCCTCCAAAACTGTCAAAAGCTATAAAAGTTTTCACTGGTCAATAACTTCCTAAATTTTCAGCTTATGAAAGTTTAGTTTTGATCCTCCTGACGCCCCCCTGAAAAACACTGCGAAGAATTCTGAAGGATAAGGAAAACATTTATTTCCTAGCTTTTCTTACCAGTCTAAGTTTGTGCCATAAAAGGCTCTGAAAAGGAGCTTTGGACAGTGGGTTCTAGCATCTACACTTACATCAATATGTTCAAGGAAACTGGATGACTGTGCATCTTTTACCTTCTTCACCTACATGCAACATAAATTGTGCTTTGTGCAAAAAACCAAACCTCTAACCTCCCCTGCCCAGGGAAATGGAAATTTTAGCTGTCTCTAAGGAACTAAAAAATTACACAAACTAATTTAGGTATCTGCAACACTATAACAACAATAACAAATCACTGAATATAGGATTAACTTACTCTGCCAGAAGGGTAAATTAATCTACACTGAGCTTTGTGTGGTGCTTTGGCTAGCCTGTTAAAGTACCTGAGTTAGTTCACATGCAGCTAACTTCTCACTGCACTACCAACTATAGCTACTGCACAGCTACAGAATCAAATAAGCTTGTAATACAGCTGACATCTTCTTGGCATTACAAGTAGTACCACATCAGGACATTTCACACAGGGTTGCTTTGTGTTCCTCCTTGACATATTGCAGATATAGATGTATTTCTGAGGTAGGCTGGAATGCTACCTGAGACACGTCAGCATATTTTTGACTAGTATGCTATTGCCTTCAGAAGTCTGTTCAGAATAGGATGACGAATTCTTGGTGGAAGACTATTTGACTGTGCTTAATCAGCCCCACCACCAAACTATCAGGACAATGACCAAACATCATGGTACTCCAACAACCCTTATATTCTTTAAAATAATTTTTAAGCTTCAAATTTGATTAGTGCTCCTTCTGGGATTAAACGATTCCAAAGAAAGAACCAAATCAGCTGGCACCCTGTCCTACATGACTTAGCACCATGTTTCTGGTCTAATGTAAGTTTTCAAATTAATCAGTAAACAGGTAGGGTTTCTTTTTTTTCGGGGGGCGGAGGTGAAGGCAGGGAGAAACTATCATGAAGGATAGCATTAACCCAGACAACAGGAGTATGATTTCCAGAAATACATAGTTAAACTTTGCATTTAGGATTGCACAACCAAAGTAATGTATGCGAAAATACATCACAATTTCATGCTTACAAAAACAAAAGCCATAGAAGACGTGTTCCACATCTTTCCTACAGAATTCTTTCAACCTTGTGCTATGTTCCGCATTACTCCTAACGTTTTATACTGACCTTCATATTTCCTAATCGTCTTGTCCTGTCAACCACAAGCAGCTTCTTAATAAGGTCTCTGCAGTAAAGAAAACATGTTCTCTGTTAAGTAAAAGAAATTTATATTTGACTGTCATACAAATGTTACAGAATATGAGCTAAAGAAATTTATATTTGACTGTCATACAAATGTTACAGAATATGAGCTAAGTAAAAGAAATTTATATTTGACTGTCATACAAATGTTACAGAATATGAGCACGTTTCCCTTTGACTAGCTAATACTGTGTATAATTTACCCATTCATTTCCTTCATATTTTAAGACACTTAAGAGTGAATGATAAAAAGGAATAACCTGTTTGCTATTTATTTTTAGAATAATAGCATTCTGGTCTCATTGCATAAACTACCAATGACAGGAAAGAACAAAAGTTTAGCCACCTTTCTTGTTTCTACAGCCTCAAATAGACCTGAGAGATGCAATACTGCATGAAATGCTGGGGATCTACAGAGTACGGCTAATTCCAATTTTTAACTTTGCAGAAGGTTTAAAAAAACCCAACAACTTTATTTACAGAAAAAAAATGCAAACATATTAATGACACACCTGCCTCTCTCCACCCCTAACTGTAACACCTACTGTCCCAAAACAAAAACAGTATTCTGTCACCTACCCTTAAAATCACAAAAGCGTATGCACAAAGAATATATAAACTGAGAGTGAATGTGCTAGACTGTTTGAAAAGCTGTTGTATTTGGCAGCAATATAGTTCTAAAATTCAATTGGAAAAAATATTCAATTGCCAGATAAAAGGAGAATAAAAAAAGTCAAGGTAGAAAGCAATTTTTAAAACTCTCATGATCATTCCAGCCAATCAATGTTTGGATTAAGACTAAATCATGTGACTGACTCCTTTTACAGTCACCTACAGTCTATAACCAGACTTTAAAACAGAAGTAGGACTGAAAAGAAATCCAGAAACCAAGAACTAGATTCACAAGCTACACGGCCAAAGATAAATCATGGAGTTTTCTATTCCTATATAACCAGAAAACATTCAATGGATCATTCTTGGCTTGCTTCAAAAATTCATCTTAGGAACGCACAGTTAAGGGATGAGCTTGCTCAGTGACGCTGTGTTGTCACTAAAGATGAAGACGTTTGCTGCAATCAGTAGAACAAATATCCATTAAGTTGAATCAAGTAGTAGATAGTTTAGTGCTTCGTTACTGCATAGTTTCTAAAGAATAATTTAGAAATGATCATGTTAAAGTCAATCCAATAGATATGTTGCTGTACGTATTTGGGGAATGAAATTCTACATCAAGGTCTTTCCAGACCAATAATCATTAAACTGCTGTAGCACTGGTGTTTTGTTTGGTATTTTACAAAACTGTCTTTGCAAAGAAAAGTTTACAAAAGCAAAAAAAGAAAAATATAAAGAAATAACTTATAAACTCATTAGTGGCCAAAGAAATAGGTGGAGCATAATTAATACTTATGTTTTATCAGAAATGAAGTAACAAAAAAACTCTGCTCACAGTCTTATTTTGGAATTTCTAGTTGGTTAATTTATCAACATGGCAGAAGCTGCTCTTCAGAAGATATCTGAACTAACGGTCAAATGTGTCAAAGACTTCACGTATACAGGACAAAGGACTTGGAGAAAACATCTGATCAAATTGCAAGGCGGCTAACAAAAGGCCTGCTAGCTCAGGCCAGAAGGAACAGCACTTAAACAAGATGCACAGCGGTTATATAGTGCAGTAGGAGACATTGAACATCATGCAGCAGGAGGAAAAGCAGAAGTGGCACAAATTCAAAAGGTAGAGTGCAGGAGGGTGATAGGGGGTAGGTGGGTAGAAAAATGTCAAGCAGTAAGGTTATGTAGTACATCTAGGTAGAAAAGTTTTCTCAGAGTTCAAAAAGGAAAATAGTTCTGCTGCCTAAGAGCAGAAAGTTAAAGTTCAATTGTTATAAACACTGTAGAGCACTAATACTTCAGACATAGCCTGGATGTGACAGGACTCAAGAGAGTCTTCATCCTTGCTGAGATACCAACTGGTAAGGAAGAAGAGAGAGAAAGCAAATGGGATATAAATAAGGTAAGAAGCAGACTGTTGTCTTAGGACAAAAGAATCTTGGCACTTGCTTTAAGCTAATGGTGCAGAGATGTCAAAGACTATCCAGTTCTGCATATTGTGGTTTAAAAAAAACAAGAGGGGTTGATGGAACAAGAGAGATACATTATGCTAACAACTCGCTGCAGAAAGTGGGTAAAGCCACACAAATGAATGACATCACCCAAAACCAAGGTGTGAAAGGAGGAAAGCCCAAGCTATAATCCCATGAGACCCCTTAAAGGCAGGAATGTAATGGGAATGAGCTGCCAAGCACACACTGAAAGAACATCTGGATAAGAAAAGCTGGGAAATAGGTGTATCAACAACTATGTTGATTAATGTATCCTACGATTCATTGACAGTCATGTCTAGACTGAAGAGCAAGATCTGCATATGCATGCTTACTACCATAACTAGGAAAGTTCACAGCATCAGGCATCTTCTGGATAGTAGAAATCAGTGTTGGTCTGTGAATGTTGAGCATAAACAGAAGCTAACAGCATCTCTACTTTTAAATGATTTTACCATGTTAGACAGGGTGCTAGTGATAATAACCTAATTTAGCTGTTCATCTTCTGGTCGCACTCTTATACTTTAGCGCAGACAATACAATGCGAGAAACTCAGTTTTCTTTCTAAGACAGACTGGGTTAGGAAGACCAGACAATGAGACTACACTAAAGTGGAACCAGCATTGAGATAGTAAGGGAAAACTCTGTTAAGAACAGACACAAATATGAGACACTAATCAGCCAAGGTGATGTAGACATGCTTGATTCAGTGCACTTGATGATCCAGTGGAAGCTTAAAAAATCCTCCCCAAATGATTATTTTTCCAAGAGAATTCATGAAAGTTCAGAGAAAGTTGGACACATTTCATTAGATTTGCCATACAACATTTTATCAATTATCTAGTGGTGACAGTAAGCAAGTGCCATCTCTAAGGTCACTTCTTCAAAACACCTTGAATTATTAACTTGGGAATGTAAGAATAACTTTCTGTCCTCACTCAACTCAATCATCTCTGCTTCTAAGGAGAAACTTCATGTTTAAAATTGCACTTCCTCTGTTCTAATGTTTATTAACAATTATTTTAATTTTTAAATAGGGAAAAAAGCATTTCATCTGCAATATACCTGTAACAATTACAAAATACAATGAATAAAACCCACACATGCATATATAAGACTGCATATTGAATTGGGGCCCTGCTATCAGAAATGGAAGTTGATTTTACACTGGAACTTCTGAAGTATCAGAAAGTTCATTCAAGTAGTTATGTTGAGAGTGACTTAACTAGTACATACGCATACAAAGAACAGCTTAGTGTTCACTTCCTGCTCTCCTGATTTTTATTCATATTAAATTTATCTCCTCATATTTCTTTTCTTTTCTTCCTTCCACGCACCAACCTGGTATCAATGAGCTTTGTACAGCAGCATTTAATAAGCAAAGCATTTAATGTTCCAAAATATGCAGAAAAGTAAGAGAGGCAGATACTATCTTACAACTGTATCTCTACCAAACACATAATTTCACTTGGACTGCAAGAGTAAACGTAATCTAAAATATTTTCCAACATGGTGTTTTAGAAAATCAGAATCTGGTATCTGGTCTTCTATGAAGATCCTTTAGAAACAGTGCTCAGGAGGTGTTTAGAACGTAAAAGACAGTATTTGGAGTCATGGACTTACTTTACATATAAATCCAAATGCCTCGGGAAATCTATTTTGCCAGCAAGAATCTTCTGATATATACCGAATGGATTGTCATCAAAAAATGGAGGAAACCTATTTTAATACAGCAAGTTTTAGAAGGTTAGAAAAAGGATTTCTAAAAATCTTATAAACAATATTATGTTATAGTAATTCCCCTCAGAAATCATTAACTATATAGTTCTTTTTGGTAGGGCATCATCAAATACTAACTTGAAGAGTAACTTAAGTTAAGGCTGCTATTGCAAAACAGAAAACATTTTTATAAGCAACACACTGAATATAGAATTAAAATTGAAATATCACAAGAGCGATTTTTGTTACATTAATATAGTAAAAATATCAATTATGAAACAAATTTTCAGTGTTAAAGTAAAAAATGCTTTGCCTTTATCCATAAAACCCAAGGGTGTACTTTCCAGAACAGCATAACCATTTTTGATTTTGTCCTGTAACTGCAGGCATACTCTTATTCACTAGTTTCTATCTAAAGTGTCAAAGGACCCTCATATGAATAGATTGTCCAGTTCAGTTATTTATTGTATTTCTTGAATTCAAGTATATGTTTTGTTAGAGAAGGTTTGAAAGAGACTGTTCAGAACCTGAAATTCGAAGTGCAGCTGTCTTTCTCTGTTGGACAGATAAAGTGCTTACTTCATAACCTTCCCAAGATGATCAGTAAATCAAGATGCAATTAAAATTCTACACTTTTTTTCTAAAAAGTTTTTCATGAAGTTATGAGCTAACAGAGAGACTACTTCTTGTTTTACAGCTACAGTAAGAATTGAGAGAGTTTTCTGTTGTGCTTCCTTTACTAGTGTAATATATACCCTGGTTACTGCGAGAAGCTCAGAGTGTGGGTGCATCAGTACAGGCGATATAAGAAGCTTAGCCCAAGCGCCAACAGGTTTTCAGAGTGGCAGTCACCTTTTTAGAAGTTACCACAGGAAACCTTTCAGGGGAATGGAGTCACTAACTACTCATTCACTAATCTCAGTCCCGCTTTGACTTCCGTAACATGACCAAAGCATCCCTCTTACTATGCTTCTGTATCAAACCCCCTACAGAATAGAAAAAAGGGATTTTGAATACCAACCGTATTAGTAACGTCCAACCACTATTACAGTCCAACGTTTAAAATATTTTCACATCTCCCTAACATTTTATAATTACTTTCTGAGAGAACTTAACTGCATGCATACACATACAAATACAGTGCTGGTGGCTTTGGAAATCATTGGTAGCAAAAACAAGGGTGAAAACGACATTTCTTCATTTCACATTCTTTCCTTAATTTTATGTTACTCAAACTAGCTTATCCCTCAACAAGTACTATACATTATTTCCACTACGTAAGTGTTTTCAGAAGTACTAATTTCTTCATTATTCAGCTGATGGTCAAGTGGATTAGCATTTCCTTTGAAATACTCTAAAATTCAGCCACAGACAAAACCAAATTCCATCAAAATAGTTAAATAAAGCTGTCTGTATGCATAAGGTAAAAAAAAAAAGTAATACTTCAAAGCACAGAAAAGCATGACAAAACTCTCTGATTAAAGAAGGACTGGAGAACATTTGTTGGTGGTGTTCAGAAAGCCAGAGCAGTTTCATTATGAAAAACTGAACAGTCTCAGCTAGAAAGAAACTGGAAAATATAAGACTCTCAGGAAAAAAATAATTGTGTTTTCATAAATTCCTGCTTTGACACTAAAGAACAAGGAAAATGTGATAGATATTTAACATGCATAAAATTTTCCCACACCAGCGAGACTATCATATAAAGTTTCTTTTTCAGTCAGGCAACATTATGTCCTTCACATTCTCCAAAGCAAGTTGACAAACAGTACACTCAATTTCCAGTTTTGTATTTGTTATCACATATTAGCATCTATAAATGCATAAAGCAATTAGAATCAGACTTTGTAATGATGTATTAAAAAGGTGCCAGCTGCAATAAGCAAATTGATAGGAAATGAAGGTTTTTTTTCCTCCATCTCCAAACATGCTGTATACTACTGAAGTGTGAAATCAAGAATAAGAAGTATGTATATGTTTTTACATATTTACATATGTTTAAATTACTCTTTGCTTTCCCACTTTGAAAATCCAATATTACTATGTCTAGAATTCTTGAGAGAAATTTAAGTCACACTTGGCTATATAATAATTTAATGGCAATACTGCTTAAAGTGCATTTGAACTGCATGTAAAATGAGACTAGCTTTGAAAGATTACATAGTTTTCTTATGGACAAACCAAATAACTTGACTTTGATATTACTTGCAAATGTTAGTTTGCAACAAAGCACAGATTTTAGACCAAACAATGCAAGTATTGTGGTGGAAGCTACCTAATAAATAAAAAAAAAAACCCCTTGAGTTTCAGACTGCCTTCACACCATAACACAAATACAAACAGCTGCCTTTTTTCCACCAACTGAAAAGAAGCTAAAAAAAAAAAAAAATCATCTCTGTATATGGAACAACAGCTGCAAATCATTCCTTTTGCTAACTGATGCATGACAATGGCACTGACATTGGTCTCAAAGATAACAGATAGTTTTAGCACTTAAGAAGAGAAGCTGTAAAACCTCATGGGAAAACACACAGGTCTGAGAATACGAAACTGTAGACAGGAACCATTAGCTACCTAAAACGATAGACCAGCACATCACATATGACCACCAAAGCAGAAACAGAAAACACAAAGCCCTCATTAAATGAGAAAATTCAGTTAGCTACATGTCTGATGACAGTACAATTATGACCTAACATATCTAACATTAAATAACAGGTATATTTTCCTCTGTAGTAGATTGTAACAGAACACATTTACTCAAAATAAATAGATCTTTCAACTCTTCCTATTGAGAGTTTGTTTAGCTTGTTTAGATTAACTCGATGAACTCGATATTACTAATCTGTTTTGTAAAGCTTTCTTCTCACCCCTGGTTCTCCCTGTTCTTTCCCCTTCCTATATTTTAGTATCTTAAACTTAAATGGGACCTTGCCTTAAATCTAGTATGTGCAGAACTAGAATTCCACAGGCCTCTAGAGATTACGTTAGAGAAATAAGACACTGCAGAACAGGAAAGTGTGGTTTTGTTTGTTTGTTTTTAGAGAGACCATTTCCTTACACACACATCTACCAATTCTTTTCAATTGCTTTTGGGGTTCAGAGAGAGTAACTTCAGGAAATAACTACCAAATGTCTTAAGGAATTTACTTGCAGACAATAACTTAGTCTTGAAGTCAGGTTTTGTTCACCTTTAAATAATTTTCATATTTCTTAAACCTTCTTTGAATTTCAAGGGATAAAAGACTATTTTTGCATTAATAACTTTGATAGTAAATATCAAGCCACATCTTGAGTTGGCGAGGAAAAGCATTTTAAAACACTGCTGCCAACAGCAATGAAAAGCCGATAAAATGCTAAAAGCATATGCCCTATGTGACAACCTGCCTTCTTAAAGAAAGCACACACAAGCCACAAGCCCTGCCCCCCTTAACCCCGCAAACCCCAGAATCTTAAAAATCCTAATCAAGTAGTATCAATCTACCCACCTCCCAAAAAAACTCCACCCCAAAATCTCAAAAAAAACCAACCCAAAACAACCAAACCCCAAACCCACAAACAAATTTAGGTGGAGCCCCTATGCCAGCTTTGGATAGCGACTCCACCCAAACACTAAAAAATAAAAAGAAGCATCCAATCATTATGAAGAGCGTATCTATACAAATACTGTAGTAAAAACCATTACAAAATCACTTGCAGCAGACTGCTGCTCTGTCAATCAGCCTATGCAAAATCTCAGTTGCCTTTTAGAAATGTTTCTGTTATTGCTCTAGTAGAGAGAATCCTATCAACATCTCTGTAAGGCACAAAAAGGAAAAATGCCCAATATCCACTTACACTGAGACCACACAGACCAAACAGAGAGTGGTCCCAGCGAAACCTGTGGCAGGAAGGTAAATCACTCAGACTACAGCTGGGAGACGGCAGCACCTGCGCTAGTGTTACAGCACCAGACACTTTTATCAACACTCTTTGTGCTGTCTAGGACTACATTAGTGGCAACAAGCCTACTGGGAATCTCTTGCTCCTTTCATCCCTCCGACAAGGATTCCCTTGACCAACTTGGGCCTCTCACCCTTACAGGGAGTGGTGGAAGGAAGGTGAAGCCTGGCCTCTGCACAGCTCAGCCTACATAAATAACAACTTTTTATTAGACCAGTCAGCCAAGCCTGCCTGGGTCAGTAGGGAACCATTAGTACATTTTTATGTACTAATTTTATTTTTCTGTCCAGAAATTGCCTTGAGATTCAAAGTAAATGCATACACAAGCCTTCAGGACATTAAGAAAGCAAGCAGTGGGCAGCAATGCTGTCCTGGGATAAAGTTTTGATGCTATCGGGCAGACTTCTTCACAGCAAACACACATAATGGATTGGAGCTCTGAAGTGATCATCCATCTGTCTGCTCAAGCAATCTGACGAGCTTGTCCAAACACCACAAGAGTCACCAATGTTACTCCGAGCTGACAGTATTGTATAGAGAAAAGGACGAATAAATCCATGCAAAGATGTTTTTGTTCCAACTTCACTCTATGAGGCTGCTGATCCAGAATGTAAGGCCATAGAGGCAACCCCATGCACACTCGGGGAGCGAGAAAGCACAGAGCACACTGGGACTGGTACTGAAAAGAAGTTCTAACGACTATGAAACCAAAACAGATGAAATACACCATGTTTCTTCTGAAGCTACGAAAGCCTTGCTTTCACCTGCATTTCTTCTACTGCACCAACCATGGCAAAATCAATTTCTTTCAAAATTCCCACTCTTTTTTTTTTTTTTTTTTTTGCAAGTACCTTCAAAAGATACGGCCAAGAAAAAAGACAAGGAAAAACATATGGATGCCTTGTTCAGTACCCAAGCAGAATTTCACATGCTCCTTAAACCAGTTATTTATTTTACTGAAAATAGTATTTCTTTTTTGAAAGCAAAGCAAATAAAGACAGTTAATTATATTAATGCCAGAAAGTCTCTCCTCAGTTTGAATTTGTATGTTTTGGAAAC